TATTCATGACCATGGTGCAACTCTATGGACTTCGAAAATTCTTGTGGTCATTTAAGGAGCCCCAACAGTGAATATAAAAAACTGCTGTGCAAGTCATCTACTCCACCTTCATAAAGCACTTGTACCAATTCAATATTTTGGGGACTGCTTCAATCAGCGTTTTAAGCGTGTTGCTTTCACTGGCTGCATAGAAAAATGTCAAAACCAGTAAGATATGCACATGGCTGGGGATATAAGATAGTTTGTGTAATGTTATAAATATCAATAAAGAAGCTGAGCTACAGTACAGTACTGTAATCAAACATGACATATACCAATATGACTTGAGTAAATGAGGATGTATGAGAACAACCACAATGTATGTTGATATTTCAGAACAAACACAACAGATTTGCAGAACTTTTGGAATGACATTCCATGTTCCTTGTGTAAACATATAAAAATAATAGGAAGGATATAGCACAGAAAATTGGATCAAATTAGTCAAAGCAACATTCAAAAATTAAATATAAAGTTTCACAAAAAATTTAGTAGCACATGATAATTTACTGATAACTATAGCCTTACTGAATCGGTGCTCTAAGAATAGAGTAAGAAAAACATTATTGGTCAGGGCACTCAGTATAACATAATAAGTCATGAACAGTCCATGTCATAGTGTCATACTTTTGTGTAGTGTGTTTTTTATGGATTAAAAATGTTGTCACGAATCTTACCTCCACATGCATATAAACTCTCAATATTTTTCAAAAGAACTTCTTTGGCTTGCTGCTCTAAGAATTGCGTTGAAGGAACATCTTCAAGTAGCCCTGCCTGAGGCACAAGAGGAAAGAAACAAAGTGAGGCACACACAACTGTTACATGAAGATAAAGTGCATGATGTATTAACCAGAGCTGCCAATTTTTCTTGCACCAACGAACCTGGAATACTTGATGCAGCAGAGTACCAATCAAAGCACTTGTTGAATATTCATTGCTTTTTAGTCTGTCATCGAGAACAGACCTTCTTGGACAATGAAAACTAGAAGCAACCTAAAATAAGCTATATATCAAAATATGATGACAAGATAAGATGAATGTATTTTTACAAACAGTTCTTATAAAATAATATTTGAGGATATCATAGCAGCTTGTTCATATTGATCTGGGATATTGACTACAAAGGTTATAATAAAGAGATGGGGGGAGGCTAATACTAACCCGTGTTCCAGATATGAGTAATTCTGGATGCACTATAACAAGATTTTTGTCATGATCAATAATACATATTCCATGGTCAGTGAATTCTCCAATGACACTTACTGTGTCGCCTGGGCTAATAAGGCTATGGAACCTGTAGTGGTTTGAAATATATAGGCAATAGATTGATGAAGGTTCATATGTATATAGAAAATAAAAATGGAATCATGTCAATAGTTGCATATAGGAACTCACCACTCATCACACAAATGGACTGCATGCTCTTTCCCACCGTGCTCATTCAGCAAACGTAAAACCTGTCAAAACAGTTAGCAACTTTGCAAAATAACAAAAATTTAATTGCAAACTAGCTCATCCAGATAGGTAAAGAGGATATATACCTTAACAGGATAGCGATCACATGGTAAGTTATCGCCTTTGTGCTTTTCTGACACCTGAAAAGTAATTAAACACATAAATCTCTATTGTACTAGAAGTCTAGAGCAGCTCCAACTTCGATAGAAACCAACCCATGGAGGTAAAGAAAGCAAACCTCCAACACCAAAAAGCTATCGAAGGGCGGGGCATCAAGGGACTTCTGGGAGGGTACATTTTGATCGCTGTCAGCAATAGGAGAACAACTAATGTTTTTCGGATCACCATTTATGAGCTGCTCTCCTTTATTCTCACCATCAGCAGGTAATTCTTCTTCCATGATTGCATCTTCCACTTGATCTAAAAGATCAAGTAGTGCCTGGTAAAAAGAAATGGCATAGTTTTGTCGATCAATTCTTTGGCAACTTAGTTCTTACATGTAATAATATCATGAAACCAATGGCACCCAGGACATTTAGTGTTATCTTAGTTCACCTTTTTGTGCTCCCCTGCCCCCAACTGCTCAGGTCCTCCATCAGAAACCACACCCCCATTAAGCTGCTGCTTCATGCACAAAACCATTACTCCATCAACACGATTTGGAACTACATTAGCTAGCATTCACACAACAATTCATCGTATAACTGTATGTACCTCACTGCACCTATAGGACAGTGATGGAGGAGTCCGAAATGGGCTTTGGGTGTCCTCCACACCGTCACAGCCACCTGGACCAGTTCCACACATATCCAAATTGCGTGCTGAAGCAGTACATCTTGACATGCCCAGCAGTGATGAATGCCATTTCTTTGTAGACTCGACCGAGGAATGCTTCTAGAATACAATTACATATCGAATAGCAAACCAGAAAGCCACAAAAAACGATTAATTTCATCACACAAGAAAGTGTTGTGTCTCCACCGGCTCCAATGCACATACATACGTGCATTGCACGCCGGTATATACCTCGCAAGAACATAAAGAAACTCCAGTATATACCTCATTGTTTGAGCACGGATGAAGCGCCATACCAGTCATCTGCCTTGAAGTGACCATGCGCAGGCGATCATTCACCGGCGAGATCTTCCAAGTCACAACCTCCCCACCCCCATCGTCCTGGCTCTGCTTAATCAGCTGGACCGCACCAAACAAGAAACCACCAAACCTAAGAGTCGATCCAAACGCCAACTAATGCATTCCAAATCGGACCAAGCGCAAGACCAATACTTACCATCCCAGGAGAAAACCTGACCCGCTTCGGCGCCAGAGTCTTGGTGACCTCCGGCGACACCTCCGATGGCTCCTCCTCGATGAGCGGCGGTGGCGGCGGAGGCAGGTAGGTAGGCAGCGGGAGGCTGCGAGGGGCCGTCGGCCTTCTGGCGCTTGGCGTTCTGGGAGGAGGCCTGGGACTGGCGCTCGAAGAAGTGGAGAATGCCGAACTTGGCCGGCTGCGACGGCTGCGAGGCCGCAGGCTTCTTCGAAGCATGCACCCCAGCCAGCCGCCCCCGTCCGCTTCCGTGGAGCCATGGCTGTGTTGAGGACTAGGGTTTTCTTCTTTCCGGTCGCTAGGCGGTTCGATACGGCGGAGGCGGCGGACGGCGGCGGAATGGGGGATCGGGTTGGGAAGGGAAGGTGGTGGGAAGGCGAGGAGGAGAGGAGAGGAGCCGAGAAGGGGAAGGGGAATGGCCGAAAGGGAGGGGAATTGGGCGGGGTTGGAAATTGGAGTTCCCGCGCGGTAGAGATTTCGGCGGGGTAGACTGCGACGTGGGCCCGTGACGGCCCGGTGAAAACTAGGCCTGAAAGGAGAAAGCATTGGTCCAGAAGTGAGATTTGGCCCATAAAATATTGGGCCCCCCTTACACGGTTCTAAAAGCCCATGTACGACGGCAAAGTTTCTTTCGTTCCCTCATGGAACTTGTGCAAATCTCATGACCATTTTTTGCGTTCCTCTGATCAAGTGGTGTACAAGAAAGTCTCCTGCGTACGGCGCACTCCTCCTGTGATTCTTCTTCAACTCATCAACCATCATCCAGGTTCTGATTCGATAATTTGTCACCTATTTAGATTAGAGATCTGATGATGATTGACTACCACGCGCATTTGTTCCCATGTATCACCTGATCTAAAAATTGGTGGTAAAAATCATCAAATTTGCCGGCCCGCCCAAGTACAAAAATGGCCAATCGTTCACCGGCGCACGAGGATTGACAGCCACGCCAAAAAGCGCGGCGCGCGAGGAGTGACAGCACGCGGACCCGACAGCCCTGTCGGGGCGAGAGCCTCCCAACTCGCGCCACGACGAGTCGTCGTCAGTCAGTCCTCCCCCTTCGACTTCGACCACCAGACGATGGATCAACGCTCGCCACCTTCTCCGAGACACCGCGCGTCCGTACTCCCATGTCGATTCCAGGCGAAACACCAAAGACGATCGTGTCGCTCGTCGATCGCCATTGCCCAAGAACACACGCCTCATCACCTCATCGCCTCGTCGTCGGGTCCTGCGCGAGTTTTCTCTGCCGGTGGTTGGGGCGATCGATGGAAGAGTAATAAAGAGGATACATCCAATCGGTATGGTTCGTCTTGGTGAAAGATGGTTCAGGCAACCCAGCACGGGAAAAAACGCCGTAATTTACTTCTCTTCTCGATCACTCCGTCACGGCCGCCACCGCGACCACTTTTTCCCGTCGAGAAAATGTTGCCACCTTTTGTTGGTTCGCCGTGGTGGCTGACAGGGATCCGGGTGAAGCCGCTGCTGCACACGCCGCCGCGAGCGGAAAAGGCTCCGGGAGAACCAACCCCGAGTGGCACGTGGGGAGGCTGCCTGCCGCGCGGTGAAGCTTCGGTCACGGACTCGCGGCTCGTTTTCGCGCTCGCGCGCCTGGTCAATGGGTTGGCAAGTGGCAATTGCGACGCACGCAGGTTTGGATCTTGGCTCTGGCCTCTGGCTGCTGCGATCCCAGTCCAAGCGATGTCTCGTGACGGTCACGATGGAGGCGCACACACGCGGCCACGCGGGCATCTAAAGTGCTAAACCCACCTTATACAAAGCTGCATTCGAACAATGTTGAACAAATTCAATTCAAAATGTGGCGCTAAAATTGGAACGATGTGACGGAAAAATTGAAAGTTTGTGTGTAGAAAAGTTTTGATGTAGACATGTGTTATAGTTGACCGTCACAAATTAGAACGTGTTAGTGTAAAATTCGACGACGATACAGATGGCAAATATTGAAGGTTTATGTGAGTAGGAAAGTTTGATGCGATGAAAAAAGTTGAAAGTTTGAAGAAAAAAATTATGATCTAAACACAATGGTAGTGGAAAAGTTAGAAGTTTGAAGAAAAAATTTTGTAACTAAACTCGGCCTATTTTTCAATATTTCTTATCGGAAGTTTTTGTCCTACTAGTGTGCAACCGTGCATCTATTCCTAGAGTAGGGTAGAGGAACACACTTCCATAAAAAGCCACGCAAGCGAGGGAACAGAGAGATGCGAACCGATCGAACAAACGAAAACTACGAAAAGGTGAAAAGCGGCGCCTCTATATACAGAGGAGAGACCGCGTCGTCCTCCTCTTCCTTCCTTCCTTCCTCCCTCCCCTCTGCTGCTGTGCTTGATAATGGAGAAGGCAAAGAGAAGAGGGCAATGAAGTGCAGCAGGCACCCGTACGAGGGCGGGGTTGGCGTGTGCGCGCCGTGCCTCCGCGACCGCCTGCTCGCGCTCGCCGCCGCGCAGAACGAGGCCTCCTCATTGCCGCCGCCGCCGGAGCCGGTGCCGGTTTTCCCGAGGTCGGTGTCGCCGTACGTGTGCCGCCGGAAGTCCGACGCCTCCGGGGCGAGGAGGCGCACGCCGAGCCTCCTCTTTTTCCGGACGCCGCAGGTGGGGCCGGCCTACGGCGGCGGCGGCGGCGGCGGAGGCGGCGCAGGTGGATTCGAGGAAGGGGACATAGAATTCGAGATCCGGCGCCGCAGCAGCAAGTTCTCCGTGCTCGCCGCGCTCTTCGGAGCCCATCGGCAACACGGGTCGGAGGAAAAGCGCAGTAGCAAGGAGCGGAAGCACCGTTCTTGGCTCGCGGCGATCATGGCACCCTGGTGGCCCCCGTGAATGAAGGATCCTGGCGTGTCTGCTGTCTGCCGCCTGCTGTGCACTCTTTTGCCACTGTTGAATCATGCACACCTGCTGTGTGCTCTCTCGCCTGTGCTGATTGATGTGTACTGCCTGACTGACAGTGCGTGTTGAGTGATGGGTGATGCTCTGCCTGGCTGTGAGTCTGTCCATTGGCTGACCCTTCTGCCTGATTGCTGTGTCGCCGGCGGATTTGCTGTGGTGCCCTTCGCTGGTGCTGTGCTGCTGTGTTGTGTGGGCTGGGTGGGTGTGTCTGGTGCTTTCGGCTTTTCGGGCTTCTTGGCCTGCTTTTGCCTGTTCCTTTCTCTCTGCCCGGTGGGCGCCGGCTGGGGGGAGGCACCCTGCGGACGCCTGCGGCTTCTCCGGCGAGCTGGGGGCGTCACCGCTCCACCGCCTCTCCTCCGGCTCCTCGCTCCCCCACTGCCGGTCATGGAAGCTCGCCGACGGCGGCCGCTTCCGGTGATCCTATCCTTTATTAATTTTTTTCCCGCGCTCCGACATTATTTATCCCTTTTGGGAGGCTTTTCTTTTTTCCTTTTTACCTTTACGTGTAAACTGGAAAAGAAGAATTCATCCTGGCCAACCACGAGCTGGCAAGCTGTCCCACTGACATGTAGGCACCGACGTTTGTCAAAGGTTACTGTTTGTCAGTTGAACATGTTGCAAGCCACTGTAAAAAAAAAAGCTTCTTGCATTATCTATGTACAGGATTACTCCTAGCTTTTAAATTATTTTCAAGATATTATTTCTTTCTTGTGTTTGAGATTCCCAAGCCAATAGATTTAGTTGTGTGTCTGGCATGGAGGGAATGAAGCCATGTGAGCGGAATTGAATGTGAGCGTTATGAATTGAAGATCTGAACTCTGAGAACTAAGTACTCCTACTTACTCCCTCCGTCCCAAAAAAAAAAAACAAACCTTGGGTTTTCATATCCAATTTTGACTGTTCGTCTTATATGAAATTTTTTTATAATTCGTATTTTTATTGTTGTTAGATGATAAAATATGATTAATATTTTATGCGTGACTTATCTTTTTAATTTTTTTCATAATTTTTTTAAATAAGACGGACGGTCAAATGTTGGGTACGGAAACCAGAGTTTGTCTTTTTTTGGACGAAGGGAGTACTTCAGTAGTGCTGAACTGCTAATGTCAACTTGGAGTAACTCTGTACTCATGCATCCATGAAGTCATGAACCCTCCACGATCTGATGTCTGATGAGTGGGCACTGTGGATGGATCGTGGCTGATGGTTGTAGAATCGTAATCAACTTTATGATAAGGTCATAAGGATAATTTATCCATTTTACCATCTAGTCAGAGACCTTGTCCCCTTTTTTCTCTTTTTCTGAAGGCAGAGGTTGACATGATCAAGAAATTCAAGATCTCTTCCTGTTGTTTCTTCATTGCTTTTGCCGGTACACTGCGCACCAAGCGATTGTTTCCATTTTCGTCCGGGAAACTATAATTGTGGTATGGCTCTTCCAGTCGAGCACTGTTTCAACCACACGACGACAGTTGCCGGATTCAGTACACAGTCCGTTGGCAACATTTACTAGTTCGTTGACGTTATCGCGTTGCATGTAATGTACAGGATGAGGTACTCGAACAGGTATGAAGTTTTGGTCAACAAATCCAGCAAATCTTCAGACTGGTCCTCCAACAGACGTAGGTTGGCTCTCCCGTTCTCCCAGCTGCAGGTTTTCGTAACTTCTGAAACTGCATATCCTCCACTGCCACCTTGATCTGAAATTCTGAATCTACATCGGTGACAGTTCTTTTGATCTCGTTTGATGGCTGTTGCCATCACCTCTCAGTCTCAGGCTCTCACCGGCGCGCCACTAAGGTCAACCGGCTTCATCATTCTCATCGATGCATTTAAAAAGTCAAACTCGATACATTAACGGCTGCAGATTTGGCGAATAAACTTGCTGATGAAAAGCTCGCAATCATGGGGCATGCTTAGCTAGAAACCACCATCGACATGGGCAGTTGAGTTGGGAGGTGATTGCCTCGACAGAGATTGGCCGGGGTTTGTTGCGTGCGAGCTCGCTTTCTCATCATCTCGGATGGACTCCCATCATGGCAGGTGCTCTCGCTCTGGTCGAGAAAGGTCGCTACCTTTCCGGTTAATCAGAGGTTAGCTCCGCTAGTGCGGTGGTGGTGGCCGTGGCCGTCGTCGTTGTCGTCCTGCCAAAAGCTTGCGATTTCACCGAATCGCGGTGAGCTGTGATGCGCGCGCGCGGGCGTGTGATGGGTGGATGCACGAACCTCTGCTCGCCTTGTGATCGATCGTGCGCTCTGCCTGCCGGTTGCTGCATCTCTTGAGAAAAAAGAAGCAGCATGATATCACTATGGAAAAGGCGTATTTTTTGTTCGATTTTCGCAGTAATCCCAGAGCTTTTCTACACTCCGCTGGGTATTACTATATGTTTATTAAGGACAGGAGTATATGAAAAGTGGATTTTGATTTTTTTTAGATAATGGAATAAATAAATATCCCGGCCTTTACTCAAAAGAGCTACAGCCAATTATTATATAGAAGCCAATTATATGAAAAGTGGATTTTGATGAGGAACATAAAGCTTTAATGCTGACTGTCTGACGGCCGTTGGTTTGCTAGTACACATTGCTTCGCTGTATGAACTCCGAAGCCACATGCCATTGTCAACCGGGTCAAGTACGCGTATTATTGGCTTTGGGGGAGTGAACACTAGGTTAGTCCAGTACCCGAGTTCTTGTTACAGTATTGATGAGGCCAACAGAAAACTCCTACTCGTTGACGGTATCGAATGAACTAATGCCCATCCGAGGGAGACGATTGCCAGTGCAGTACTGATTTGTTTCGGTTAGCTGCAATAACTCTTTTCAGTGAAAGCTTGACAAGAAACTGCATAAGTTCTGAATCCTTATATTAGATTATGACAACAATTTGCAAGCAGGGACAAGTGACAACAGTGGCTTGGTTGCTGCTTCAATTCAGCACAGCAAGCAACAGGATCAACCTTCCCAATCTTGTTCTTTTTCCGCGTCAGAACTCAAAAGTCTCAGAATAAGCAACGACCAGCCGAAGATTTTCTAAACCACGCCATTTTCAGCACAGCAAGTGGTATTGGGCCAATTAATTAGGCATTCTGAATCCATCTGCAGTCCATATAAGATTATGCATGTGACCAAGGAGTTGCGTGTCAGCTTCAGTTGAGGCCTTTGTGGATCAAAATCATCTTGCTCTATAGTCTAGACCAAACATTTTTCCCTTTTCTTCTTGGTAATTTGGAACCATGACATTATAATTTTGTAACGTTTGAGATATGTCATCGGTATCTCAATGACACGTAGAACCCACATGAGTCAATGGCATGTGGGTCAGGATGGTATAGCTCAAATTTTTCAAAATTATAATGGCATGGTTCAAATTTTCCCTTTTCTTTTATGCCTGTCACACACGTACAACAGAGGCCTGGCTGAGTGGTAGGTCGAATTATACCGTTGAGGTCCTTAATTTCTGACTATACATTTCTCAGTTGAGGCCATTAATTTCTGACCATACATTCCTGTCGGATTACTTTAGTTTTGTTGCATGAATTTGACAAAACTTCAACTTACACGGGAAAACTTGGAGCGATCAATAATTGGAAAATTCCTCGCGAAAAAAGAGAGAGAAGAGAAGGTGTAGCAATGATACGCTTCTTTGCTAGGTCAAACTGAGCAAACAAATACTTCATCCGTCCCGAAATATAAGAATCTAAAACCGATGGGACATAGTATTAGAAAATATCCTATCCGATTTTAAATTATTATATTTTGGTTTATATCCTATCCAGTTTTAAGTTATTATAATTTAAGACGGAGGGAGTATAAAGCAAAATTGCAAACGGAGTTGTCAATGGCGTGACAAGTGGTTGGACCTTCTGTGAAACAACCCAGAATCAGCCCATTACATAATTGGGCCGTGGTGAGACACACACAAACAGGACCAGTAAAGTGTTTGGGCCCTAGCTGCACCTTTACCATGGTTGGATAAAGGAAAAAGTACACCGAAGGTCCCTCAACTTGTCAACGGGATACAAAACCGTCCTCGAACCGCAAAACCAGATATATAGGATCCCTTAACTATATAAAACTGGTCACAATAGGTCCCTTGGCGGTTTCGATCCCGGTTTTATCCTACGTGTCTAATGAGTCAGCGTGGGACCCACGTGCGCCCCACATGTCAGCTTGTCCAGTCAGCCTCTATTTCTTTCCTCTCTTCTCTCCCTTCCCCTTCTCTCTCTCGCTCTTCTCTCTGGTGACTCTGGGTAGCCCGGCGCCGCCGGCCGACAGGTGGGGAGGAGATCGACGGTGCGAGGTGGGAGAGGAGGTCCGGCGGCCGGCGACGTGGCGGCGGAGACGACGCGGGAGCAGGGGAGCAAGGCGGCAGCGGCGGCGAGATGTCCACGGTGAGGTACTGGAGGCGGAGCTCCGTCGGGGCGGGGAGCGGGTCCACGGCGGCGGACGGCAGGCACGGGATTGCGTCGCGGCCCCACGCTGGCGCCAGCACCGGCGTCGCCCGCCTACGCGCGATCTCCTCCACCGCCGTCATGAACTGCAACGCGCCGAGGGCCGAGGGCCGATGCGCCGGCGGCGACGCCACCGATGGCTGTCGTCGGGCGGTCCGGGAGAGGCGACAGAGGAAGGAGAGATCGAGGATGACGGCGCCATTTCGGCGGGCGTGGCGCAGCAGTCGGTGTGCTACCACGGCGACAAGCAGTGGACAGTGTCGGTGTCGTGGGGGTTCGCATGGTGCATGGCGCATGCATGCGATAATGGCGCAGCTGCTCACACCCGTAATAGCTCATCCAGTGATAAGGTTGTTAGGATTAGTTTCTTATCTCCAAATTTGTTCTATCTCCTTATCACTTGTAACTGAACATTGTAAGCCACGGTAGAGGCTGTTTCTACCACTATTTAACAGAGATGCGGCCCGAGGCAAAGGGTTCAACGCTTCACATTTTATCACATGGTATCAGAGCCTTTTCCACCTCGGTAGATTGCATCTATCTTCCACCACTCATGCCGTCGTCGTCTTCCTCAGGCGCGGCAGCTGTAAACCTCGCTCAGGGCCATTCCGTTACAGAGAAACTCGGAAAGGCAATCATGCACTGTGGAAAGCGCAAGTTAGCGCTGCAGTGCGCGGAGCCCGTCTCCAGGGCTACCTCACCGGCGCTGTGAAAGCTCTAGACGCCGAGATTTCAGTCACCGTCGATGGGAAGACTGTGACAAAGCCGAACCCGGCATTCGAAGATTAGGAAGCCAATGATCAACTTGTTCTTGGCTATCTCCTGTCATCTCTTTCGAGGGATGTTCTGATTCAAGTCGCCATGTGCAAGACGGCGGCTGAAGCTTGGTGAGCCATCGAGGAACTCTACTCCAGCCGCACCCGTGCAAGATCGGTGAATACCAGGCTCGCCCTCACCAACACGAAGAAGGGAACAATGAAGGTCGCTGAATACGTTGCCAAGATGCGAGCTCTTGGTGATGAGATGGCTGCCGCCGGTCGTCCTCTTGATGAAGAGGATATGGTGCAGTACATCATCTCAGGGTTAGATGAAGACTTCAGCCCGATCGTCTCTGCTCTCTGCACCAAGTCCGATCCCATCACGGTTGGGGAGCTGTACTCTCAACTCCTCAACTTTGAAACTCTCCTTGATCTCTACCGCAACACCGGTCAGGGAGGGGCTGCTTTCGTCGCTAATCGCGGCGGCGGGCGCGGCAACAAAAACGGCGCCCACAACAACTTCAACGGCGGCAGCGGCAGGGGAGCGCTGCGCGGACGCGGTGGTGGCCAAGCACGCGGTGGCCAGGGGCGCGGCACAGGGCCCTGGATTTTTCATATTTTGGTCCTTTTAAAAAACTTATTTCGCAAATAGACCCCTAAAAAAACTTATTCTAGAAATGGTCCTTTTTGGGGCGCCAGAGTGGCTGGCGCCGTCATCCAACGGGACGACGCCAGCCTCTCTGGCGCCGTCCTCCTGCCACCATGGCGCACGCGAACCGACGTGGTAGGAGGAGGGCGCCAGCTATGCTGGCGCCGCCCCAAGGAGGAGGGCGCCAGCATGGCTGGCGCCGCCGCCTCCATTCCTGTTTCTCTGTATGGAGTTGCAACGGTGTCATTTTTATTTTATTTTTTCGGATGTTTTTTCACACTCAGGATCACGATACAACCAACCACAAAAAAAATTTAAACTCGAACTACCACTTAGCTAAGTCTGAAAATATCTAGCATACCACTTAGTCTACTTTGCACCTTCACTAAAATTAGACCATAACTCCTTTACTAAAACCCTTTGATCAGCATGTTAAACATAATGCACTCTACCACTATATGAAATTACTTAATCTAATTCAAAATATAACCACATGAAATGACATATATAAGTTAAACAGTACATAGAGATGCAATTTTTTTATTTTTATTTCATTTTTTTGATATTTTTTTCACACTTAGGAGAACATAGGAACCAACCGTATAAAAAATAAACTCAAACGGACAAAATATGTGACATGTAGAATTTTCCAAAACTCTATCGAAACGGACAAAATATGTCATCTATTAAAATAGGCGTAACTTTCTCATACGGACTTGAAATCAGGAAAATAATATATGCACGGACATCTACAGAAAAAGTTACATCCAATTCTCCCTAGCTTTGCCGGGTTCGGTGATATTAAATCCCCCAAATTCCGCTTGCAAGATTGTGTTTTCGAGGAGAGAAGTTTTTCGGTGGAGCTTTGGAAAATTCCACATGCCACATATTTCGTCCGTTTGAGTTTATTTTTTACATGGTTGGTTCCTGTGAGTTCCTAAGGGTGAAAAAAATATCAAAAAATAAAATAAAAATAAAAAAGTTGCACATCTCTCTCCTCTGCACTAGTTCGGAGAGAAGAGAGGAGAGGAAAAATTCTACATGTCACATATTACGTCTATTTGAGTTCAATTTTTCTATGGTTGGTTCTTGTGTGTCCCTAAGCGTGAAAAAATATCAAACAAATAAAACAAAAATAAAAAATTTCGGGGGGGGGGGGGGGCGCCAGCCACTCTGGCGCACTCCCCCTAGCCACCTCAGCATCACCCCGCCACGTCGGCAGGGGGACGGCGCCAAAGAGGCTGGCGCCGTCCTGTTGAACGACGGCGCCAGCCACTCTGGCGCCTCAAAAAGGACCATTTTTTGGATAAGTTTTTCTAGGGGTCTACTTGCGAAATAAGTTTTTCAAAAGGACCAAAATGTGAAAAATCCAGGGCCAAGACAGGTGCCCCACCTGCCAGGTCTGCTTCAAGCGCGGGCATACCGCAGCAGACTGCTGGTATCGCTTCGACGAGGACTACGTCGCAGATGAAAAGCTTGCCGCTGCTGCTACTAACTCATATGGTATAGATACAAATTGGTATATTGATACAGGTGCTACAGATCATATTACCGGTGAGCTAGAGAAACTTACCACCAAGGAAAAGTACAACGGCGGCGAGCAGATTCACACGGCTAGCGGAGCAGGTATGGATATTAGTCACATTGGTCATACTATTGTGCATACCCCTAGTCGTAACATTCATCTAAATAATGTTCTTTATTTTCCTCAAGCTAAGAAAAATCTTATATCTGCTAGTCAGTTAGCCGCTGATAATTCTGCTTTTCTTGAACTTCACTCGAAATTCTTTTCCATAAAGGATCTGGTAACGAAGGACATTTTGCTTGAAGGGAAATGTAGGCATGGTCTCTACCTGATCCCTAACTCCTTTGGCTGATCAACCAGCAAACAAGCCCTTGGCACCGTCAAGCTATCCTTGTCCAGGTGGCATAGCCGTCTAGGACATCCGTCTCTTCCTATTGTTAAGAAAGTTATTAGCAAAAATAATCTCCCATGCTTAGTTGAGTCAGTCGATCAGTCTGTGTGTAATGCTTGCCAAGAAGCAAAGAGTCATCAGTTACCTTATGTTAGATCTACTAGTGTGTCTCAATTTCCCCTTGAACTTGTTTTTTCTGATGTTTGGGGCCCTGCCCCAGAGTCTGTTGGGAGAAATAAATATTATGTGAGTTTTATTGATGATTTTAGTGCTAAAATATAAGTCTCAAGTCTTTGAGAAGTTTAAAGAATTTCAGGTTCTAGTTGAACGAATGTTTGATAGAAAGATTATTGCCATGCAGACTGATTGGGGGGGAGAATATCAAAAACTTAATTCCTTTTTTTGCAAAAATAGGAATTGATCATCATGTGTCATGTCCTCACACTCGTCAACTGAATGGGTCAGCTGAGAGAAAACACTGGCATATTGTTGAAGTGGGTCTCTCTCTTTTATCTTATGCATCAATGCCTCTTAAATTTTGGGATGAAGCCTTTGTTGCAGCCACTTATCTCATCAATCGTGTGCCTAGTAGAATCATCCAAAATTCTACACCTCTAGAAAAATTGTTCAAACAAAAACCTGACTACTCATCCTTGAGAGTGTTTGGTTGTGCTTGTTGGCCTCATCTTCGTCCTTACAATACACATTGTGGAGATTATGGGTACCCCATACCCACACGGCATGGTTATCCGACTAGTTATAGGGGATAACTTATATGTATGGAATATGTAACAGATTATGACTTGGGTATTACGTTTCCTTGTATATTACGGAACGGCCTAAAGTCCTGGTTTGATAAGATTGTAAAGTAGAGTTAGGAAACCGATACCGTATTGGATAATGTTTCTATCTTGTAATCCTGCCCCCCATTCTATATAAGGTGGGCAGGAGGCCCTCTAGAGGGCATGAGACAACCTGATCGTCAGATCAATACACACTCAGCGGATTCAAATCCCCAAACAGGAGTAGGGTATTACCTCTCATTGAGAGGGCCTGAACCTGTCTAAATCCTTTGTCTCCACATCCATCCACTTTTAGGTCTCGTGCGCTACCCCGTTTTATTATTGCCGAATTCATGTTTCGACAGTTGGCGCGCCAGGTAGGGGCTGCGTCGAGTTTCCTATCAACGAGCGCGATGGAATCAATTTCATGAGTCGCCGACTTCGCTTTCGCTTTGGGAGTTTTCACTTCCTTTCCGTCGACCACTTCTTCAAGCTCCTCTTCTCTGACTTGATCCAAATCAGTCAGGGGGAAACTCAATCTGATTTTTATCATTATTTATCATATTGATTTTTAATCTCAGATTAATTTCTTGCTATTTTTTGTTGTTGTTCGCATATAACTACGCGGCACTATTGAGGCGATTGATGCTGGTCATGGACTCGAGGCGTCTCAGCTTTCCGGTCGATCGGCCGCGAGTCCACTCCGCCGGCTTGTCCTCGCCACCGCCATTGCTGATAGCAACAACGACTTCACCGCCGGCCTGCCTCCGTCGCCGCCGACTGGTGTCATCGCCTATACGGTTGGTCGGTCACACCACCGTTCATGGGCGTCCATGTCTTCACCGACCGGCTGGCCTTCGCCGCCGCCGACTGGTGTTTCCGCCTGCACGGCTGGCCTATTATGCCGCTGCTGTTGGGCGTCTACGACTTCACCACCGGCCTGCCTCCGTCGCCGCCGACTGGTGTCCTCGCCTATACGGTCGGTTGGTCACACCACCGTTGATGGGCATCGTCATCTACACCGCCGGCCTGCCTCCGTCGCCGCCGACTGGTGTCCCCGCCTATACGGTCGGTTGGTCACACCACCGTTGATGGGCATCGTCATCTACACCGCCGGCCTGCCTCCGTCGCCGCCGAGTGGTGCCTCCGCCTACACAGCTGGCCTATTATGCCGCCGCTGTTGGGCGTCTACGACTTCACCGCCGGCCTGCCTCCGTCGCCGCCGAGTGGTGCCTCCGCCTACACGGCTGGCCTATTATGCCGCCGCTGTTGGGCGTCTACAACTTCACCACCGGCCTGCCTCCGTCGCCGCCGATTGGTGCCTCCGCCTACACGGCTGGCCTATTATGCCGCCGCTGTTGGGCGTCTACGACTTCACCGCCGGCCTGCCTCCGTCGCCGCCGAGTGGTGCCTCCGCCTACACGGCTGGCCTATTATGCCGCTGCTGTTGGGCGTCTACGACTTCACCACCGGCCTGCCTCCGTCGCCGCCGACTGGTGTCCTCGCCTATACGGTCGGTTGGTCACACCACCGTTGATGGGCATCGTCATCTACACCGCCGGCCTGCCTCCGTCGCCGCCGACTGGTGTCCCCGCCTATACGGTCGGTTGGTCACACCACCGTTGATGGGCATCGTCATCTACACCGCCGGCCTGCCTCCGTCGCCGCCGAGTGGTGCCTCCGCCTACACAGCTGGCCTATTATGCCGCCGCTGTTGGGCGTCTACGACTTCACCGCCGGCCTGCCTCCGTCGCCGCCGAGTGGTGCCTCCGCCTACACGGCTGGCCTATTATGCCGCCGCTGTTGGGCGTCTACGACTTCACCGCCGGCCTGCCTCCGTCGCCGCCGAGTGGTGCCTCCGCCTACACGGCTGGCCTATTATGCCGCCGCTGTTGGGCGTCTACGACTTCACCGCCGGCCTGCCTCCGTCGCCGCCGATTGGTGCTCCGGCTACACGGGTGGCCTATTATGCCGCCGCTGTTGGGCGTCTACGACTTCACCGCCGGGCTGCCTCCGTCGCCGCCGAGTGGTGCCTCCGCCTACACGGGTGGGCTATTATGCCGCTGCTGTTGGGCGTCTACGACTTCACCACCGGCCTGCCTCCGTCGCCGCCGACTGGTGTCCTCGCCTATACGGTCGGTTGGTCACACCACCGTTGATGGGCATCGTCATCTGCACCGCCGGCCTGCCTCCGTCGCCGCCGAGTGGTGCCTCCGCCTACACGGCTGGCCTATTATGCCGCCGCTGTTGGGCGTCTACGACTTCACCGCCGGCCTGCCTCCGTCGCCGCCGAGTGGTGCCTCCGCCTACACGGCTGGCCTATTATGCCGCCGCTGTTGGGCGTCTACGACTTCACCACCGGCCTGCCTCCGTCGCCGCCGATTGGTGCCTCCGCCTACACGGCTGGCCTATTATGCCGCCGCTGTTGGGCGTCTACGACTTCACCACCGGCCTGCCTCCGTCGCCGCCGATTGGTGCCTCCGCCTACACGGCTGGCCTATTATGCCGCCGCTGTTGGGCGTCTACGACTTCACCGCCGGCTTGCCTCCGTCGCCGCCGAGTGGTGCCTCCGCCTACACGGCTGGCCTATTATGCCGCCGCTGTTCGGTGTCTACGACTTCGCCGACCGGCTGGCCTTCGTCGCCGCCGACTGGTGTCCCCGCCTATACGGTTGGTCGGTCACACCACCGTTCATGGGCGTCCACGTCTTCGCCGACCGGCTGGCCTTCGCCGCTGCCGACTGGTGTTTTTGCCTATACGGTTGACGGACTTCGCCGCTGTTAATGGGCTTCATCATCTACACCACTGGCTTGGTTCCACTGGCGCCGACTGGCGTTTTTGTCACCATTGATGGACTGCTTCGTTCCCACATCGGCTACTTCTGCCATCACCAAGGGGAATATTACAAAGCTAAGTCATCATTTATTTTATTCTTTATATGATATTTTTCCTTTTCCTCTGCCTCACTACACCAATTGGTCTTCCATTGAGTAGTGAGTCGGGGGCTACAGATGTTATATCATATTTTTTATAATATTTATCTTGATTGCTTGCGACATAATCTGAGTACAAAAGTACCTATCGAGTTATGGAGTTCTATCTTCCTATGCTTTCCGTTTGGTTTGCCAATGGATGGTTGCCTTTGGGCCGATTCCTAGCACCCGGGGGCTCGTTGGATGGACCGAGTAACGCAAGGTGCTAAGTATTATTCGGAATAAATCAAAAGCATAGAGATGAGATAAATTTATTTTCTGCTCTTAATAATTGCAAAAGTACCCGAGTAGTAAACTCCGATCCGTGAAACTTTGACGAACTCATGTCACTCATATGTCGCCGCCGACTGGTGTCCTCGCCTGCACGGCTGGCCTATTATGCCGCCGCTGTTGGGCGCCTACGTCTTCACCGACCGGCTCGCCTTTGCCGCCGCCGACTGGTGTTTCCGCCTGCACGGCTGGCCTTTATGCCGCCGTTGTTGGGCGTCTACGTCTTCACCGACCGGCTTGCCTTCGCCGCTGCCGATTGGTGTTTCCGCCTGCACGGCTGGCCTTTATGCCGCCATTGTTGGGCGTCTACGTCTTCACCGACCGGCTTGCCTTCGCCGCTGCCGATTGGTGCTTCCGCCTGCACAGCTGGCCTATTATGCCGCCGTTGTTGGGCGCCTACGTCTTCACCGACCGGCTCGCCTTCGTCGCCGCCGACTGGTGTCCACGCCTGCACGGCTGGCCTATTATGCCGCCGTTGTTGGGCGCCTACGTCTTCACCGACCGGCTCGCCTTCGGCGCCGCCGACTGGTGTCCTCGCCTGCACGGCTGGCCTATTATGCCGCCGTTGTTGGGCGCCTACGTCTTCACCGACCGGCTCGCCTTCGCCGCCGCCGACTGGTGTCCTCGCCTGCACGGCTGGCCTATTATGCCGCCGTTGTTGGGCG